ATTATAGACCTTTGATCCTAAACAGTAAACTCCCTTTTGGTATTTACTCAAATTTACAAGAGGCTGATGGAGATTATTTTGCTGTCTGGTATTTATTCTATGAATCTCTGAATTTACTATGAATTTGTTTCTGTTTTTTATCATAAAAAGCATAAGAGATAGTATGTACTGATATGCCAGAGGTAAGATTTCTAATTCTCTAAATAAGTTCCTGCATAAATCCCTCCTTCTGCATCCCAACATAATTCTAATTATATTCTTTTGCATTCTAAAAATGTTTATACTTTGGGGTGAGTTACCCCAAAAGAGTAAACCATAATTTATAATGGAATTAAAATAAGAGTGATAAACCATTTTTAAGGTATTTATGGACATGTATGGTTTAAGCGATCTTATTATGTAGCAGACTGCACTTAGTTTTAAACTAATATACTCAATGTGGCAATACAGTCAGTAGACTCCTTGGACAGAGGATCAGCCTGTCTGAAGGCCACTACCAACACACAGGACAACATAAAGAGAATAAACACACACAGACATCCATTACTTGAGTGGGATTTCAACCCACGATCCCAGCACTCAAGCCAGCAAAGACAGTTCATACCACAGACCAGCTGCCATTGTGGCTGGCAATTAATAGTGATGCAATTTGGTTTCCAAAGCTGAAATAGAGTCATGCAATTTTAGACTGCCGAGTCAGCAATGACTTCTTAAAACCCCTTCAAATCAGGTCAGAAGTTTAATCTGTAATGTTAACTCTTAAAAACAGGTCAGAAGTTTAATCATAATCTTAACTCTATTTGTTTTAAATTACAAAATAATAAATGTTAACACCATTCAGTGTGATTCAATTTGTAGATATTTATTGCCTTTGCATGTTTTGATCAGCCGACCATCTTCAGAAGGCATAATAAGGTCAACTTTTTCAGAAATTACTATTATAGAATTCTGTAATACATACCTAGAAGTATCCATATAAAAGCTATTTACAATTATTTGGATTAAAATCCTATTAATGTTTAATATCTAAGATCTTGAACCAATATGGCCTGTGTCCTCGAGCCTCTTCCTTTAAAAATGGAATACTGGGCGTTCTTTTAAATCCTCAGTGGTCCTCACAGTGCTTGTTATTGCTCTGTGCTGTTGTGATGTCTGCTTATTTCCCTTTTGAGGTACTTTGAGGCAAAGCAGTCCCTACTTTACTGATATCCAATTCTTTTATTATCTGAACTGATGTTATATCCCTTGTTTACTTGACCTGAAAGTTATAACAGAATGGTCGTGGCCAAAAACACACTCTTTGTGCCACTAAACTTCAAACAATGGAGCCACTTCCAGTTTGTATGTCTGGAACTGTTGGGTTTCTGAATTCAATGCTATGCGATGAAGCATTTATGTTTACATTCTTACAATTCTATATGTACTGCACAAACATAATGCTGAAAATACTTACAAGACTTATAATGACAAGCAGACAAGCCACAGTAGCCAGAATGAACATCACTTCAGCTCGTTCCACATAATCCTTACAAAACAATTTGATTTCATGAGCCTCACAGACTTCCATATCTGAAGGCTTTGTGTTGTATGGAAACATAAAATCTACACACAAGAGAAAAAATATTACTTTCAAGAGTGGCCTAAGAACTCTAAAGTTAAAAATTTCTATTCTTTTTTTCACAATCCATGTTTCACTTAAAAACCAGTTTCAATTCAGATATAATACTGGAGAGTCACATTCACAAACCATTTTTTTTTATTGCTACTGGGGTGGGACTGTCCCTTGTACTGTGGCCACTTCTGGCCTATTGTACCAGCCCCAGATGATAGGCGAGGGTGATTGTGGAGCAATTGGTGGAATGAAGATTGGCAGTGGAAACCAAAGTACTCGGAGAAAACCTGCCCCAGCGCCACTTTGTCCACCACAAATCCCACTTGACCAGAGCCGGGATTGAATCCAGGCCGCCGTGGTGCAAAGCCAAAGCCAGCGGCTAACTGCTTCAGCTATGGCATGACCTTGCCAGGAAGCAAACTCTGATTCCCTCACTGCCCAGCTAACAGCCTGCCACTATACAAACTGAGCTAACCCAGCTCCCTTTATTTACATTCAATGTTTTCCTAAATGTAATATACATTCACAGTATGCCAAAGAGCCTTCACTTGTAAACATTTTTGTGTCCAATACATTTCCTGCATCCTGCTTGGTGTCCTATGATTTGGTAACTTACTTGCATGATAATAAGTCCTAGATATTGTGACATGTCAACCCGTTGTTGGGCGACAGGATGTGGAACAAGTTACTATGAAGAGAGACTGGATAAACACACAGTTGCTAAGTTATGCAACAGGAGAATGAGTTTATTATTATGCAACCCACTTCTAAGCGCCAGCCAGTAATCAAGATTCCCACGCAGGCAAAATGATGTCATACTGTAGTGAGTTGGAGTCACGTGATCTCTGCGTTTCCACAAATGACATCACACACACCCCCTCACCAAGCCCGTTGCTAGGCAGAAGTAAACACCCCTTGCACGCTAGGCTGTGATGTCATGCGATAGTGAAGCAAGCTGCATTTCCTGTCTGTCCAACTGAGGGTTTATAAGAGAAACTGGAATACCTAAAGAGTCAGTATTCAGCAGCATCTGGGAGTATTCAAGTGTGTTTGAGTGTGTTCAAGTAACAGCAACAGGAATTTCATAGATATTTAAAGGGTGATTGAAGACCTTAATTATGTGTAATACTGGGGGTGATCTGAAGTGACAGTCTGTGTGGAGATCCATTGCTAGGTGACAACTAGTGGAAGACAGAGAATCCTAGTGTGTGTGCAACAGTGAACTGGAAAGTATGTAAATCAGCAACAGTGCTGTATTCCATGTATTAGAGCGTAACTAAGAGAGAGTGTGTAACCAAGTGGTTAATAAACCCAATTACCAATCCGAACGGCATCTTCAGTAGCCAAACACATTACAATATTGTGAAATCTGAGCCATAACATATAGGATGAACTGACTATTTTATTAAAGGGACACAAGTTGCATCGGATTGTCTTATTAAATTACGTAACAAATATAAAATACAAACTATATTACTGACCCCCTAAAATTACTATAATTTATTCCTTCAAAACACATAACTACTGACTATTGGATTTACTGTATTCTACTACTTAATAAAACAGCTAAGTAGTGGATATTAGTATATTTAACTAAATAACTATAAAAAGATCAAAGTAGAGCTTCTTTAATACTGGCTAGCATATTTATAATTCTAAACTCTTGAGTCTTAACTGTATTTTATGGAGAAATGGAAGTAAATACACTTCATATAAGATATTCTGCAAAGATAAAACTACCTTAAAGGAGAATAATCTTGAAATACTCACCAAATTGTCTGAAATCAATGCACTTCTTATTGTTCTGTACATCTGTATTGGTGCAGAGAGACCAAAATATGGTGAAAATGAGCGTGACAATGACAAGGAAGCACAACATTAGCAGCCATGCTATTTGTAGAATATATGTGATGCTCATAAACTGAAAGAAAAAAGTATATATGTATATATGACTAATCAATATGTGTATGTAACAGCAACTGTAAGAGCTGCAGTTAAGATCCATCAGAACAGCACAGAAGAAAGTAGAAGGAATATGCTTATACAGTACAGTTCTAATTTAAGATTTCTCAAATGAAGATTTTCCTACATTTCAGATTTATTTTTTTCAAGTCCCAGCCAAAGCCTCACAGAAATCATGCACATTTTCCCCCAAATTTTTGTTTCTCATTTTAGTGTTTTACCTGCATTTGGCAAACAAAATTAAATCTCTATGTGAAATCTGTACCTCGCTTTTGCATGCATCGTCTGCTCAAAAAGACCTTGAGCTTTATGCGTCGCCTTATCAAACTTGAGCCAGGGCTGGCACAACCCTAAAAGCCGCCTTAGGCAATGACAAATTCCCCCTTCTCACAATTAAGAAGAGCCCAAGTTTCTCAAAACATGGCTACACGGTCTACCACCTACCAGACTACCGCAGTTTTTTAAGTTATGTACTCAGGTTGGTGGTTACTAACTTTTTGGAAGAACACATTGTTTCTACCTTCAGTCATTTCAACCTGAAAATGGAAGGAATACATTCTTCTGATATACTGGTAACTATCTACCAAACTACATGTCAAAACAAAGATAAATACAGTATGAATCATCACTGCCATAAACACTCCTAAATACTACACCTACACACTGCATGGCAACACATCCCAGAATATCAGAGTCTGAGTTCCTAATTTAATTTTCACTGTGGTACTCAGTCGAACCAGACAAAATCAGAACTTACAACTGCACATGAGATACGGCCTCCAACTCGTGCACGCCACGCTCGATAAACTTTGTGTCTTGTTGCTCCAGTTGCCAAGCACCCAACAAACAAGATCATGAGTCCCAATGCCCCCATACCAGCCCCAACTACCACAAATATTAGCTGCACTGCTTCCAGCCTGAAAAAGTACAAGCAAAATAAATTTACAAATCCAATGATATGATACAGATACAATTTGTGTAGTGTCAGACCCTCAAATCACAAAGCAACTTACGAGGGTAAGTCAGAAATTATCCGCACTTTCTCCATAACACATCTTTAGGTTTGTCACACTGCCTCCTACACATTCATTGTTAGTTGGTACTACTGTGGTCATGTTATCGAAGTTTTACCTTGATGCTGTGACAGTGTAAACATGGCCGCTCTGCTAGCAGTGTGCACCTATGATTAACAAAGAATAGTGATCCGATTTCTCTGATTGGAAGGTGTGTCAGGGGCTGAAATTCGTATGTGGGTTCATCACTATGAGCCAGAATCCAAAAGCCAGAGTATGGTGTGGAAACAGCCGGTATCACAAACGAAGATGAAATTCAAGACTCAATCTTTCGTGGGAAAGGTGATGCTAACCGTTTTTTGGGACTCAAAAAGGCCTATACTGGAAGACCACCTGGAAAAAGGGTGTACGATCAACAGTGCAAGATACAGTGATTTGCTGGCCAACAATCTGAAGCCAGGAATTCGCACCAAACACTGAGGCCTATTGTCAAAGAAACTGTTTTTGTTGCATGACAATGAACACTCACAAAAGGATGGCCAGACCATTGAAACCATTAACCATGTGTGTTTCAAGGTGCTGGAACACCCTGCCTACAGCCCAGATCTCACCATTTCTGACTATCATCTATTTGGACCGCTCAAAGATGTTTTACGAGGGTTTCGATTTTCTACGGACAAAGAAGTGGGGGAACCGGTGCATAAATTGCTGCGCGACCAACCGAAAACCTTCTTCGTAGAGGGAATACGCAAGCTTTTAGATTGCTAGACCAAGTGCATTGAAAAAGGAGGAGACTATGCAGAAAAATGAAGTACTTATTCAACCCCTACTTTTGTATATATGGATTGGAAAAACAAGAGTGCAGATAATTTTTGACTTCCCACGTATATTAAACTCACAGTTTTCTACAATGTAAAATACTATAAATAAATAAAAAAAATCTATATTTTGCTTACCATATACTAATGACAGCTATATAAGTAAATAATAAAGTATTGTTGCATTGACAGTAAAAAGTATATATGTTCATTAATTAATCTGAAGTTTGACATCACATGATATGTATCATAAACATATACCTACAAGTTCCAGATGAAAGATTTCTGTATCATAAACTACAAACATGGCAATACTGAGGTCATATCCAACAAGTTCAAGGCATGGGAAATGTGTATCATGCACAGATCAATAAATTATAAAGTAAAAGAAAGTAAAGCTATCACTGTAACAGGCCGTGCAAGCCCATAGGGTTGTGAGACGTTAAGGGTCCCACATTTTCTAGACAAACAGCTCAAAGATGGTGGTAAGGTTGTCAGCCTTATGACCTGGCTGCGCTTCACACCCAAGGAGAATTAATTAATTAATTCCTGGTACTCATTTCTGTTATAGGCTGAGTCGACCCCAGGGCCACAGTGCGGCCAGAAGGATTAGGTCAACTGAAAGAATCCAATGACCTCTTTGGGACTTGAATCCACGATCTTCTGTCTTGTAGCATAGTGCCTCCACCAATTATGCTACTGCATGCCCCAATCAATAAATTATAAAATTACTAATTTGTAATTTATTCTTTTTATTGCTAGTGGGATGGGGCTAAGTCCCTTGTACTGCAGCCACTTCTGGCCTATTGTACCAGCCCCAGATGATAGGTGAGGGTGATTGTGGAGCAATTGGCGGAATGAAGACTGGCAGGGGAAACCTAGGTACTCAGTGAAAACCTGCTGCAGTGCCACTTTGTCCACCACAAATTCCACCTGACCAGACCCGGATCAAACCTCGGCCACCGCGGTGGAAAGTCAGCAACTAACCGCTTGAGCTATGGCATGGCCTTTTGTAATTTACACTATACATATTGATACAGTCACATAAAGAAAAGGAAGCTTCATAGGCTCTTCCCAGAATTTCTGCTGCTGTCAAAATAAAACTAAAAACCTGTTAAATTTTGTGGAATTCAAATTTGGGTACTAACACATGATATAATAATTGATTTAAACTTTATTCTAATCAGAGTTCTTAAAAAATAAATAGGACAGTACCAGATGATCACCAAAAGATAATAAATTTATATTTACCATGCAAGACGCAGATGAAATACTTCATCAAACATACGTGCACTCAATGTGGCACCTCTATACATAGTACCACAAAATACACCTACACCAACAACGCACATGATGGTTGCAATTAGGGTTGCATATGGAATCCGAGTCAGACAGTCTTGGCAGCGGCTCCCTGTGAAGAATGTAACAAGAAAGTACAAATACATAAAAAGGGAAACAAAGTTATCAGAACATCTCCTTAATACACTTACCACCACCATACCGTCCCAAATAAGTGGAATGCAAAGAATTTTCTGAATATCTTCCTAAACTATCGCGTGAATAACCATAACGATGCTTCAACGGCATCATTGGTGTAGCACTGTCGTTATGCCTAGAAGTTTTTGTGGATGCCATTGTGATACAACAAAATATTTCCTCTATCTTTTAAAGTAGCAACTAGTTCACGTTTTCATTCCAGCCTATCAGACGTGATAACGTATCTGCCTCCCACTCAAACGACCAAATCTTCCCCTCAGTAAATTATGACTAACACAAGCGATAACGTATGATCACAAAAATACACACCCATTTTAAAACAAAATACGTCAGAGGACTCTAGACGCCCTAGACGATTTTAATGAGACGTGAAACACCAGAAATTTCCGCTATCGATACAAAATTACTCGAGTTCTCTCAGACTTTTCCGATTAACAACGTATACATTACTTCAGTTTTTCGTTTTACGTCTTTGAAAATGAAGAATGGCTGCACCTAGGCCATTATTTGCCAGACACAACCAATTACATACGCCATACTACGTTCTCTTAATATTACGACATATATACACAATGAATGCCAAGCGAATCAACAAGGACCATCTCGTAGTGTGAACTTACATTAATTTGGACCAAACGTTCGGCTTCGAGAGCTCAGTCAAGAAAATCGCACTCTGCTGGATGTGTCATCCAAGGTTCTAGTTAAGATTTGCTGCTATTCAATGTTCTACAGGTGTTAAATCGCCAGAAATGTAATTACAAAAAGAATAACAAGTAAAGTCAATAGGGGCCATCTTGTAATGTGAACTTGTGAACTAATATTATTTTCTGGGATATAACGCCGTGTATTCAGTTGAAAGTGAAAGTAGTATTATTTTTCGCTGTATGATTAATTTGTAGACTGGGTCTTGTGTTGGAAGTAACTCCATAACTAACTCCACGGAGCTGAGCCCTATTTGAGAAGCCGCCAGTTGCGCAACTACTCAAGATTTTCCTGAAGTTTTGTGGAACCAGAAGGCTCATTTCCATGTTGACAAGAACCCTTCACTTGTCCCTTTACTGAGCCAGAGCAATCCAGTCCATGCCACCCAATCCTATTTCTCTATGATCCATTTTAATATCATCCACACACCTATGTCTGTGTCTTCTAGTGGTCTCTTTCCTTCTGGTTTTCCCACTAGTATCTGCATTCTGGTGGCAAGACAGCAACATATACTTAGGTTTCTCTACATTTAAATCCACACCAACTTCCTTACCAGCATCAGTTAGAGTGTGTTTTCCTTTATGGTATCTATGCTATCACCCAATAGATCTACATCATCTGTGTAGACTAGAAGCTGATGTGTCCCATTTAATTTCAGTCTCACGTGGGTTTCCTGGACCTACCTAATGACACAGCCTAATGCATAGTTGAAAAACAATGGCAATAAAGCATTTCCTTGTCTTAGAGCACTTACCTGGTGACAAGGAAAATTAAATGTAGACCAATTAAAAATTAGATGCAGCGACAGTTAACAATAGGCCCTCAGGTATGATCAAAGCTGAGAACACAACCTTACAGACTGTCAAAAGAACGCATGAAAGTAGCTGAATTGTTGCATAATAATTGTGGGAACATCCCACATACTAACATGCGGTTTCGCAGGTCTAACAGACAGCACCCATTCCTAGTCAATATCACATTGCCGCACGTTACTCGGACGCCAACCGTTGTCTTTCTTGGGCACGATGTGCAGTGCCGAGGACCAGGAACTCTCTGAACGGCGAGCTGTACCACCCCGCAACATGGCGTCGAATTCGGTTTTTGAGTTAGCGAGCTGGTCCGGTGCCAGTCGCCGTGATTGGCAGGTTTCTCGTGGGCCAGGTACAGTCCTAATGTGGTGGACGGTGTTGTGTGGTACCTCGCGCTGGACTCCGGCTGGGCGCGTCAGGTCTGGGAACTCTGTGAGGAGGTTGTCGACCGGTGTATTTTTGCTGATGGTCTTTACACTGGGGATCAGTGCGTCGGCCGCTGAGTCCGGGGCTGACAGCGTCGTGACCCCGTCCCGAATGCGGTTGTTCCGACAGTCCACCAGGACACCGAAATGCGATAGGAAGTCCACTCCAATGATGGGATGCGTGACGTCGGCCACCGCGAACCTCCACGTGAATTCTCGGCGTAGGTCCAAGTTGAGGCTGAGAGGCAGCCATCCGTATGTGTGGATGATAGTGCCAGTAGCCGCACACAGGTCATAGTTGGTACGTTCCATGCTTCGAGGGACGAGCCTGCGGGGGTATACACAGAGGTCCGAACCCGTGTCGACCAGGAGCTGCCGTTTGCTGACTCTGTCCGTTATGAAGAGGAGGCCTGTTATCGTAGCGCAGACATGTGCCGCCGATGATGTCTGCTGCGTCAGTTTCCCTGCTGGCGGTAGGAGCAAGGTGGAGTACAATTTTGGGCTCGAGCGCCGAATTGGCGATGGTACCAGCAGGTAGTGGATGTGATGTTGCCACGGGAAGGGGGTCTGCTGACCGGTCGGCGGCTGTTGAAGGCGGGACGGGAATCCTTGGATCTGGGACCTCGGTCTCTCGGGTTGGGGTCGAGCTCCTTAATGCGGTCGTGGAGGCGGTCCTGTTCGGTGCTGAGTGCAGCCACTTGACGGAAGATGTCAGCGATCTCGTCTCGAAGTGCGGCGTTGTCCGTGGATTGACCTACGCTAGTGAGCGCCGGCTGGATTTTGACCACGGAGACGCGGCCCGCACAGAGGGCTGCGGCCTCCAAGTTGCTCTCGTTCTGGCCGGCGAGGAAGCTCTGTACATTGCGGGGTAGCCGGCTGGTCCAGGCGTTTCGGATGACATTGTCAGACACGTCTGGTGGGAGACTCTTGAGGTATCTCGGGAACTGGGACGGCTTACGGTCGCCAATTTCCTCGACCGTGAGGAGCTTCCGGATGCGCTGCTCTGTCGGTCGAGATAGGCAGTCAGAACTTTCCTTTTCGTTGGTGTTAAACATGTTGCAGTCTCTGTTCTCTGGTCGGTGTCTACGAATCTACGAACGACATTATACGGTATCTTTCGCTTTCCGAACCGTGCCGATAATGCAGTTTCTGTGGTTAGGTTCGATCATCGCTGATATTATGTCGCGAATATTTGTTGTTTGAAGTGTGTTATTAGTTTTCAGACGCAAGTTAGCGGCAGACAGTTCTTGCAGATTAAAAATGAATAAAGAACGAAGACTAGTAAGAGCTCGGTGTTTGCCCCCGAATGTAGATGGTGACATAATCGGTCATTTAACCTTAAAAGTGGATGAAATTGTTTGGCGCAGAAAAACTTGCATGAATACTGTTGTTTTGGTTCAGTGGTGGGGTGAAAATGAACCAGCGATATTTAGGTGAGCATTATTTTGGAATTTATATTTTCATCATATTTATGAATCCTTCAATGCAGTGGGTGCCGGGGGTAAAGCGGCCGGGGCGTGAAGCTGATCACTCGCATTGCCCAGGTCAAGAATGGTGGAGCTATACCTTCAAACGAATTCGTGACGTGGTGCGTAATTAATTGAGCACAGGGACCACTTTACCTGCTTTATTTTTACAATACTTAGGAATAAAATTGGGCTTTTTTATTGGAAATATTTGGGGTTTCCCCGCTTCAGAGGTGATACTTTTAGCGCTCATCATTCAAAGTGAGTGGGTTATCACAGAGGTAACATGTCTTATATGCAAGTTAGTGAATGAAATGTATAAGACCTTAAACAGCAAAAACTTAATAGGAGGCATTTTTTGTGACCTCGAAAAGTCCTTCGAATTGTGTTAATCATGAGGTTCTGTTGTCGAAATTAGAGTTCTGTGGGATAAAAGGTAAAGCTAAACAATGGCTTGAATCGTATTTCAGAAATAGATATCAAAGGATTTTAATTACAGATATAAATCTTAATGAATTTTTGACATGGGGCAAAATTAGATATGGTGTCCTGCAAGGTTCGATTCTGGGCCCATTGTTATTTCTCATTTATATAAACGATTTACCCAACACTATAAATGACAAAACTGTACCTATATTAGTTGCAGAAGATACTAGTTTGTTAGTTAAAAGTTCAAACTATGATGATGTCTGTTTAAATATAAACAATGCTTTTCACAGTATAAATGAATGGTTCAAAGTAAACCAACTTTCTATAAATTTTAACAAAACCCACTGCATTCAATTTACAGCTAGAAATAATAATCCTAAATCTGAAATAAAAATTTTATATGATAAAAATAAATTTCATCTATATCCAGTATTAAATTTCTTGGAATATTCATTGATATAATGAGCTGGAAATATCACATGAAATATATTAGTTTAAAACTAAGTGCAGTCTGCTACATAATAAGATCGCTTAAACCATACATGTCCATAAATACCTTAAAAATGGTTTATCGCTCTTATTTTAATTCTGTTATAAATTATGGTTTACCCTTTTGGGGTAACTCATCCCAAAGTATAAACATTTTTAGAATGCAAAAGAATATAATTAGAATTATGTTGGGAAGCAGAAGGAGGGATTCGTGCAGAAACTTATTTAGAGAATTAGAAATTTTGCCTCTGGCATCTCAGTACATATTATCTCTTATGCTCTTTGTGATAAAAAACAAACAGATTCGTAGTAAATGCAAAGATTCATAGAATAAATACCAGACAGCAAAATAATATCCATCAACCTCTTGTAAATATGAGTAAATACCAAAAGGGAGTTTATTGTTTAGGAACAAATGTCTATAATAATCTACCACAACATATTAAGGATATATCGAGTGACACAATGAGTTTTGGGGTACAAATAAAATAATTTTTATATATACATTCTTTTTATTCATTACAGGAATATTTTGGTTATAAATCTTTTTAAGAACGAGTAACTGTCTTACTTTACAATTTAAAGAAGACAAGATTGTCAGTCTGTGTTCTGGTTTTTAGTTACTTATTTTAGATATACACAATTTTTATGTCACTGTATGCTAGTCTATTTAAATTTATTATACTATTAATGTATGTTATAAAAACTCATTAATGACATTCTGTTTTAACTATTGAATTTTTAATTAATAGACTTGTATAAAACTGTACAAATTGTATAAGGTTTGCCATTACTTTTACTACTAAAGTTAACTTATTTATTATATTGTATATGTTTATCAGTATTTTATTACAAATGTATATGCTATTGGATGACAACTGTAATTCTTAGTTCTGACTGTAACTAGCATGATCTCCACATCCGCATGAGAATGTATTCTCGACAGGATTTATGGAAGGTGAATAAATGAATGAATGAATGAATGGGATATCTCTTTCAGACCTCAGCAGCAATTAAGCGTCTTTGGCTTATTTTACATATATGTTTGGTTGCTATGGGCAGTACAGTACTGCAGTGGTTTTCCCAGTTGTTATTCTTAATTTGTAATTAATGTATAATATAGAAAGTAGGGTGAATTTCAGCCAGCGCACAGATTTCTTATGGAGAGGTTCAATCTCAAGGAATTAAATGAGGTAGAGGGTAAAGAGCAGTATCGTGTTGAAATCTCAAATAGGTTCACAGCTTCGGAAAACTTGGGCACTGAGCTGGATGTTAATAAAGCTTGGGAAACTATTAGAGAGAATATAAAAATTTCTGCCGAGAAGAGTCTAGGTTATTATGAACTGAAGAAGCATAAGGCATGGTTCAATTAAGGATGCTCAAATTTATTAGATCAAAGAAAGCAGGCCAAATTGCAATGGTTACAGGAACCAAGTAAAATAGATGGTGATAATCTGAACAATATAAGATGTGAAACCAGTAGGCATTTCAGGAATAAAAAGAGGGAATATCTGAAAGACAGAATTGATGAGCATGCAATGAACATTAAGAACAAGAACATTAGAGACCTGTACAGAGGAATAAATGAGTTCAAGAGGGGTCACAAACCTAGAAGTAACCTAGTGAAGGATGAGAATGGTGATCTGCTTGCAGATTCCCACAACATTTTGAATAGGTGGAAGAACTACTGTTACGAGTACGACGCTCTGGCCGGAACTACGTTTGAAAAGCCTCGGTGATCTGCCAAGCGTCTTCCAAGGCAGTGTTGCCAGATCACCGAGGCTTCACCCAGTTATTGAACATACATAGGGTTAGTGATGTTAGGCAGATAGAAATACATACACCTGAGTCATTAGTACCTGATCCTAACCGTTTTGAGGTTGAAAGTGCTATTGCAAAAATTGAAAAGTAATAAATCACCAGGTAGTGATCAAATTCCAGCAGAACTTATTCAAGCAGGAGACAAAGTATCACATTCTAAGATCCATAATCTAATTACTTCTATGTGGCATAAGGAATAAATTGCCTGATCAGAGGAAGGACTCTGTTACTGAACCAGTTCACAAGAAGGCTGATAAAACTGACTGTAATAATTATGGGGGAATATCACTGCTGTCAGCTTCATACAAAATTTTATCCAGTATTCTTCACTCTAGGTTAAATCTGTACATAGATTAGATCATCAGTGTGGGTCTCGACAAAACAGATCAACTACAAATCAGATCTTTTGCATTCGTCAGATATTGGAGTAAAAATGGGAGTATGATGAGACAGTACATCAGCTATTTGTAGATTTCAAGAAAGCTTGTGATTCAATTAGGAGGGAAATATTGTACAATATTCTGATAGAGTTTGGTGTACCCATGAAACTAGTTAGGCTGATTAAAATGTATTTAAATGACACGTATAGTAAAGTCAATATAGGTACATATTTGTCTGATAATTTTCCTATCCAGAATTGTCTAAAACAAGGAGATGCTTTATCGCCACTCCTTTCCAACTTTCCTTTAGAATATGCCATTGGGAAGGTCCAGGAAAACCAGGTGGGACTGAAATTAAATAGGACACATCAGCTGTTGATCAGTGCTGATTATGTGAATCTGCTGGGTGATAATATATATACCTTAAAGAAAAACACACAAACTTTAATTGACGCAAGTAAGGTCTAGAAGTAAACACAGAGAAAACTAAGTGTACGTAGGTTGTACCAAAAGTCATGAGCAACTCTTTTTGCATGCAGCCTGGGAACAGCAGATGAAAGAGAGTACAGTGGTAGGTGGAACCAGCTGTTGTGTCCGTAGCTTGCATCACGTGACCAGTATCACTCCTAACAAAATGGCCGACAACGGTTTGTTGTTTCGCCAGCATGCTGTAATCGAATTTCTTGTGAAAGAGGAAATCTCTGCTGCAGAAATTCACCAGAGACTTCAGTGTGCTTATGGGAGTGTGCATGGGTGTGAGCAGTGTTCGAAGATGGGCGAAACATTTTAAAGATGGGAACACCAGCATCGAAGATGAGCCTCGGAGCGGTCGTCCTCGAACAGCCTCAACTGAACGCAACAAGGAAAGAGTGGATGAGCTCATTCAAGATGACAGGCATGTGACTGTGGACAGAATAGCCCGAAAACTTGGAATAGGGCACAGTGCAGTACAATAGATGATTGAAAGCTTGGGCTATAGGAAAGTTTGTGCTTGTTGGATCCCGCGGTTATTGACCGAAGACCACAAAGGTCAGCAAAAAGCCATCACCTCAGAATTGCTGCAGAGATATTGACACAAAGGGAATGATTTTTTGCTCTGTATTGTGACTGGTGGCGAAAGCTGGTTTCACCATTTCGAGCCTGAAACAAAATGGCAGAGTATGGAATGGCACATTTGCATTCTCCATCAAAAAAGAAGGCAAAGACAGTGCCATCAGCTGTGAAGGTGATGGGCACAGTCTTCTGGGATGCAGAGGGGTTTATTCTGGCCGAATTCCTGGAACCTGTCGTGCATTGCACGATAAATGTCCAGGATGAAACATCATCATCCTGCATGACAACAGCTGCCCCCACGCTGCTCGCCTCACTTTGGAAGCAATTGCAAAGATGGGGTGGGAAGTTCTTCCACACCCCTCCTATAGCCCTGATCTGGCATCCTCCGACTACCATCTTTTCGGATTTGTGAAGGATCAGCTGCGTGGACAACGTTTTGAGACAAGGGAGGCAATTCAGAAAGCAGTGTGTCAGTGTCTTTGGATGGCTGGAACAGAATTTTACAGAAGGGGAATTTTCAAACTCCCAGAACGCTGGGAGCAATGTGTATAAAGAAGTGGCGATTATGTGGAAAAATAAAGAAAGGTCTGTAGATTGAGGTGGTGTATTTGGTTTGTCAATAATAAAGCATGTTACTTTACAAAAAATTGTTGCTCATGACTTTCAGTTTGACCCTCATATATTGCTGTCCCGTCACTAAAATTCAGGGCAAGATCATGACAAAGATAGGTAAAAGATGTTTTGAAAATGTTGCACAGTTCAGATATTTGGGAATGATGATAACAAATCAAACCCTGATTGAGGAGGAAATTAAGATGAGATTGAACTTGGGTAATGCTTGCTACTGTTCAGTCCAGAACCTTTTGTCTTCTCATCTGCTGTCCAAAAACATAGAAAATGGAATATACAAAACTATAATTTTGCCTGTGGTTCTGTATTTGTGTGAAACTTCATCTCTGACATCAAGGGAAGAACATAGACCGAGGGTGTTTGAGAATAGGGTGTTGAGGAGAATATTTTAACCAGAGAGAGGAAACTGCATAATGAGGAGCTTCATAACTTTTACTCTTCTCCAAGTATAATTAGAATGATCAAGTCAAGAAGGATGAGGCGGGCAGGACATGTAACACGAATGGGGGAGGCAAGGAGTGTGTATAGGATACTGGTGGGAAAGCCAGAAGGAAAGAGACCACTGGGAAGACCAAGGCATATGTGAGTGGACAATATTAAAATTGATCTTAAGAATTAGGATGGGATTGTGTGGATTAAATTGATTTGGCTCAGGACAGGGACCAGTGGAGGGCTCATGTGAACACAGATATGAACCTTCGGGTTCCATAAAATTCTGGGAAATTCTTGAGTAGCTGCAGAATTGGCAGCTCCTCAAGAAGGGCTCAGCTCCATGAGTAAGTAAGTATATCCCTTGCACTGAAAGCAGGCCTTTTGAATTAATGTGAAGCATAATCAGTATTACGGACTCATGGGGTGTGACATTTAGTTTGGTGGATTTTAGAAGAACTTTTAAAGGGACTGGCTTTTATTAAGATTTAATCAGGGCTTGAGGTGGGGCGGGATGCGGCGGGGTGGGATCCCGGGTCTTTTCTAAATGGCTTAAAAGCATCCCGTTACTTCTTTGGCAGTAAATGCAATGTACAATACCCAGGGCTTGAGGTGGGGCGGGATGGCATCCCGGTTCTATTTTCATTCCACCTCAAGCACTGGATTTAATAAATTTTTGCACATAAAGGAAAACAACAAGGAACATAACATGACGGTGTACATAACACAGCAAGGAGGAGTAATGCTTACTAGTGGAACCATATATCAGGAAATAAACTTCAATGCAGAAAGACAGCAGTTTCCTCAACCACAACTTTTAACACCTTATGATGACCGGTTCAGTCAAAACATGTCATGAAAACAAGCTTTTATTAAGTTCTAATAAATTGTTGCACATGAGACTATAGAATTAAAAACATTAAAATTGTAGAAGTTGGAGGCAACAGATTTCTTTGAAATATCAGTATTCATTCTCCAACAAGCTCTACCCGCTCCCTTCTTAAGGTTTCTCATCCTGAGCATCTCCATGACAGGGCGCAAGACGGTTCAGGTGTACTGCCAACATCCTCGACCTAGGGTTCTTCTGGATTCCGTATACCATGTCGTTTATCCGGGTGACTACCTTATAAGGGCTTTCCCATGAGGATTGAAATTTCGGTGATTTCCCCTTCCTGCTGGCTGGGCAATAGAGCCTCGCTGTCGCATAATCGGTTGTGGGTAGTTCCTTTTTTTCTCTAGCTGTTGGGGCTGGTGTTTCTACATTACTGGCTCCCGCTGTCTCCCCAGGTTCTCTCTCTCTTTTTTTCGCCTTGGAGGAGGTTGACCCTTCCACAGTGCCCAGTGTTTGCTTCTTTGTAATGGGACAGGAGATCCGGCAATTTGCTTCATGATTTCCAGTCATTTGTCTTCCTGAGGGTCTTGTTGAATTCACTCTTGCTTCCAAGCCATAGCTGGTCCTTGAAGTCTCGATCCCTGGTTCCCTTGGTGCCTTCCTGGCACATCAGTTGTCTTCTTCTGAGCATCTGTCTTTTCCGGGTTCCTCTTGCAAATTTATTTCTGGTCTGATTCTTCCACCGTCACTGTTTGACTGACAGTCCTTCTTGACTGCTTCCCTGAAGCCTGCGTCTCTTGCGCTTTGCCACTTATGCACAGCGGGTCATCTTCCTGCCAACTGTGACCAATTTCTTCCTCCGGGATCCACAAGCTCCCTAAGTAAGTTCCTTCTTGACGATGTATCTCCTGCGTCGTGCCACTGTTGCACGATGGGACACCTCCCTTTCAGCGACGGTCACTTTCTTCCGGGATTCACAACATCCCCGGATCCTTTCTCCTGGCTGACCGTGACTCCCTGCAGCTAAGTTTTTGTCCCTACGCCGCTTCCTCAGTCCTCTGACCGGAATCACTGTGGCTCCCTTTTTAGGAACCTCTTGTGCCGCCCCAGGTTCCATGTCCACAGAGGTCGGCTCCTCCCATTTAGGTTGTACAATGGTGCTTTTTAGTTCAGCTTGGTTTGTGTCCATCCTTGTGAGCATCTGTTCTTGGCTGGCTCTCATTTCTTTCAGCAGGAGTTCCATCATCTGCTGTGACCCCATCCTGTAGTGATATTGTAATACTCGATGTAATCGTACTTCCAATATTTTGTACTAATCCTATCACAAATCTGATACCAGTTGTCATGTATTTCCTAGGTAGCTCGACAAGAAACAGTGGGTTTTGGATTAGACAAATGTTTATTGGACAATTATTTGTTTACATTCACAATTATAATAACTCTCATAATGCCTTGCACATTTCCTCTTCAATTGCTATACTCTTGCACCGGTATTCTCGGTGGAGTGTCTTTGTTCTTGGTGCTTCCTTATCGCTCGTTGAATCTGAACTATTCTTGGTTCTGTATAATAATACTATATCATTTGAGATACACCATTCAGTGCATAATATTATAGTGTGCTGAAGTGAAACTTCCAGTATTTCAGATCCACTTTAATGGTGCTTGATACTATGTTTTTAATTATATAATTGCTACAAACTTGTCCGTAGTCTATTGTTTGCTGTATGCTATGACCCTCGTGTGGTATTGATACCTCCGATCATTGTATCATATTTTGTTACTGAATAAAGTTCATGGATGCTACAATCTCCACTTATGGCTGGTGCCATCTGTACAAAACGTAGCCGATGCTGACAGTCAGGACGTTCCCTGACTTTCACATAGCATCGCTAAGTTAGGAGGGTGATTCTAGCCAAGACAACAGTAATTACAGTACTGAGTTTTGCTCTTGTAATTTCAGGCCACTAAATGTAAAATCAAGCTTCAGTGGGAGTGCAACAAACACAACAGTTTCTTATGAGATAAAGACAAATATCAGCTTGTTTGAAGAATATTTGAAAGACTGTGAAGTTCTCAATCTTTCTGTCGTTGATGAAGAGCTGATTATGATTGTGGGGTATGTCACTATTCGTGGACTATCTACATTAATGTATGAAAGTCCATATGAACATTATTTTCCAATTATGAATGAATTCAGGAATAGAATTGGTGATATCCATGTTGTATTCTGCTTGGAGCTCATTCGCCAGTTCCAAAATGCACATTGTTTCACAAAACATATTACTTCAAGTATGCAGGTTGTGAAAGAAATGTCAAAACACAGAGTTGTGACTTGCAAAGAAAATACCTTACATGGGCACAGGAAGAAATTGAAAAAATGCTCTAAACACTACAGAAGTTGTTTGAAGAATGGAATTCTCCCTAACAATACATCTGCACTTACCTGTGCCATTTATGAACCTCAGCAGTCAAAGGGAAATCACGTTGTTGCAGATTCAGTAATATCAAGAATTTTAGAACAGGGGCAGAGACTTCGTGATGCTATGGTTAGATCAGTCCTTGAAGATGATATAGATAACGGAATTGATGTGCTTCAGTCTGGTTGTTTAACTGATAAAATGCTGAGTACAGGGAATGAAGGCAGAAAAGTGTTCTTTGATGATGCAAAGGTCATCAAGTTTCTTTCTGGTAAGAATTTATGTTGTAAACCTAGTTATAATTAGTTTAACACATATTGACAGTTCAACAGGAAGTCTCATAATTTATTATATAAGCTTACACACTGTTAACTTTCTTCCATATTCCTTTCCATTTGTATATTGCTTGAGTGATATGCTGAGATTGACATTTAATGCCATCTTCCATGAGTAACATACACAAATATTCAATTATAGAGTAACCCTTTTATATAGTATATTATGCTTCTCATTTCCTCATCAAAATATTGTAGCGTTTATCATATTTTGGAACAGTTATTGTCCCACTATCAGTAGCTATTATGATCTTGGTGTCATTTTGTCTTTGTCCGTTGCTGTTACGCTGTAACACTACTTCTCTGTCCTCTTCTTGCACCTTGTGCTGAACTAACCTGCTGTTTACAGCACTCTCTACATCATGTTTCTGTCCTCTGCCAGTTCCTAGCCCAGGAAGAGACTGTCCTCTTCATGTTTTGCAACCATGGTTTTGTACATGTTGTAGTTTCAAAAATCCATGAGTGATAATGTGAACAAGGTGGCCCTCTACTTTCTGGAAAGGTTCAAAAGAAAAGGGAAGGGGGTGTTTCAAAAGAGAGGCTGACACTGGCCACGCTAAGCCCCCACCATTCGTCTCCTCTGAATATATTATCAGTGGTTTCAGAATAGACATGATAACATTGAAATCACTTGTTCGTGACCTGTGGCATAACTTATGTTCACGTAGCATGTTAACACTCAAAAGTACATTGCCATTTTAACCTGAAATTCCACAATGATGATAAATCTCATGCTTACAATATTACATTTTGTTGTAAAATTTAGAATTGTGTTTCAGATCAAAGGAGTGTCATAGTAAAAAGGCAGAAGGTAAAGCTCTCCTTGTAACAGGCCATGGAGGCCCATAGGGTTTGTGAGATGTCGAGGCTTCCACATTTTCTAGACAATCAGCACCACATTATTTCTTCTTTGGGTGTTTGGGTACAGTAACAGGGGACAAGGTACACAAAATGTATACAAAAGTATGCAGTCTACACAACAATATTCTGTATTTAAAACAAAGTAGACACTATCGTATCAACATACGTTTTTATTAACGCAACATATTTCGGGCATACATGATACCAGACTTGAATGTACAAGGTGTGGGCCTTCTTGGCCCTTGCATCGCAACCACAGTGATATATTGTGCCTTGCCAGACTTGGTTGTTGAATTGCATCTAACAAATTGCGCCTAATTATTCAATAAGGGTCCTTATTGTGCACTTGAGTGGCACTTGAATCTTTCAGTTAAAATTTTCAACACTGAAATAAAGTCCCCATAAATCCTACACAAACACTGCTAAATACAGAAAAAGATAAAACAACATGGGCCACCTTTACCAGAAACTAGAACCATCATTAATTTATTCTGGAATACCAACCGTAGAATTGCCTACAAGATGACTAATACAATCAAACACCATTTGAAACTTAAAGGAATACCAGGAGATATATACAACCTGAGTGGTATTTACCAGCTATAATGCACTGAATGCCCACTCAAATGTATCAGAAGGACAGGACGCACATTCAAAGTCCTCTACAGAGAACATAAATGCTCTCAGGACTCATAAAGGACATTCTAAATTCGCACAACACATTTGGAAACTGTACATACATTTGACACGATGGACCAAACCATGAAAGTATTACATATAGAAAGGAACCCGAACTCAACACATTAGAAAGATATTATATATGTGTGTGTGTGTGTGTGTGAGAGAGAGGGAGGGAGAGAGAGAGAGAATATGGTAGTCATGTGTTTGTCTGATGATGACTTTAATAACCAAAACATGTAGCCAAGCTAATTTTAGCCTTGATCTTTATATCATTGTGTTGTGATGGACTGCAACAAAGAAATTGTATATAATAACACAACAGGATGCACGAAATGAAAAAAATAAATAATTTTTGTGTTTTAATCTTTAGTCTCTAATTTTTAAATTTTATTATCTGAGTATTTAAAAATTATAACCGAAAGACTCAATTTATGCATTTAAAAACACTCAAGTGCACAATAAGGATCCTTATTGAAGAATTAGATGCAATTTGTTAGATGCAATTCAACAGCTGAGTCTGGTATCATTATACGCCTGGTGATGACCCAGGATAAGGATCGAAACATGTTGCATCAATAAAAACATATGTTGATACGATAGCGTCCACTTTGTTTTATATACAGAGTATTGTTGTGTAGACTGCATACTTTTGTATAAATTTTGTGTACCTTGTTTATGACACACAACAGGATGCATACTATTAAGATAGTAACCAGGAAGATCATACTAATTGTGTAAAGTCTGGGGTCATCTCTTTTCTTTTCCCTTCATTCAAAAACCCAGAACCAAGCCCATTGGATGACATCAAGATAGTGACCAGGCTCTCACTTTTCCTTTCTCTTCCTTCTTTGGCGGTTGAACATGATTTATGATTTTTTTTTTATTTTATGGGTTATGTAATGACACTTTCAGTATCTGGAGAATGTAGCACTGGGTGGTAGGATGTCTGATGAATTGGAAAGATTCATAAGGAAGTGATCATGTCCTAAACAAGGTACAGTCCCAGCATTTGCTTCAAGAGACCGAGGAAAATCATGAAAAATCTTGGTCAGGATAGGTGTTGATCCAGCTGAGATACATGCCTAGTGTGTTCAGATTTTGTTGTGTATAATTGAACATAATAAATAATTTATTGTTGGTAGTTATATTTATTGTTTTCATCATTTATATATCACTTGCTCTAATCTTCAGTCATTATCACAAATTATTTAAGGCTAATAATTAAAATACACCTCTTGTGAACTTTTTCTGTAGTTGCAAGTTTCTTGACGTTCACAGTTGCAGTATGTGCTATGTGTTCTATCTATGATAATTACACTAGCCAATGGAGTTTTGGTAACAAAAGAGAATTAAATCTTTAGATTAATTCTGATATGCTGATTTAAAATCTTGCCACAAAAATTACATGGTAGTGTAGTTGTTTGAGACACTGTGCTACAAGCCAGAAAGTCATGGGTTTGAGTCCTGGTCAGGTTGATTTTTGTCAATCCACCTAATCCTTCCAGCCACACTATGGCCATGGGGTTGACTCACCCTCTAACAGAAATGAGTACCAGGGATCTTTTTGTGGGAGGGTGTAAAGGGCGGCTGGCGTGTAAGGCTGACAACCTTACTACCATCTGTGAGCCGATTGTCTAGAAAATGTGGGAGCCTCGACATCTCACAGCCCTATGGGGTGTCACTGCCTGTTACACGGATAGTTTTACCTTTTTTCTCACGGCTTTATGTGTTAAGCATGAGCCAAACAACATTTTCAATTTGGTTTTGTATTTTTTCTTAGTTAATCACTTTTATCAGCAAATTTTTGTGAGAAAATTATGCTCTCTTTGTCAATAGAAGGTTATTCTCACTTAAATAATATTAACATTTCAGATTCCATAATAAAAGAGTCTTGGATAGGTAAAAATAGAAGATTGCAGAAAAACTGCGTGTTACAACACGTGACTGCTATTTTTGTGAAAAGCATTCCTGATTAATGAAAAGCAGTTTATTTCATGAATATTATTAAACAAATGTGAACATTATTGTTCTTTGTAATTTGGTAAACTTGTGCAATCGGGCTACTTGGTATTCCAGTCATATAAAGTGCAGAAATCTCAACTTTTCAGCTCACTTCAGGTTAGTGGTATAAATGACACTTCTTTTGTGTTGAACAAGGCAAGACTATGACCCAACAAGATGAAGAATATGCCATGGAGAGACTGAAGAACATGCCATCTGTTGCCAGTTTTTTAGAAATGGTTAGGGAATTGGGCATGAAGGAGGAGGTCATTGTTGAGAATGATGAGACTCCTGAAAATGAAAGTAGCAAGATGGCTGAATCAGAACTGGAAGCTGTTGAATCTTCAGTCCCCTTCTCAGAAGAGGGAATTAGTCATGAAATCACAAAGGAACGTGGTATTCATAATACTGGAGGGAAGGAAGTCAATGTTGATCCTTTAGAATCAGGTAAATGAACCCTTCAGTACATTTTTGATCAGAATAATTGTTCTTGTGTGTCCTTTATTTGTAGTTGGAGACATTTCTTTTGGTTGGTCAACGTTATTGCTTCTTCACCTGTCCTCCACCTTTTTCTCCTCCTTGACATCTGTTAGGAGGTAAGTAGGCTGAGCAGGTAACAAGGGGTTGCCATACAGGTCAGTAGTGAGAGGTGAAGGAAAGACCTTGACTGACCAAAAGAAATGTCTCCAATTGTAGTGCCTCTATATGAGGTCTGTGTTGACCTTTCTGGCCTCTAGACCCTTAAAAAGCTATCTTTGTAACATGCCATGGAGGCCCATAGGGTTGTGAAATGTTGATGCTCTCAAATTTTCTAGATTATCAGCTCACAGATGGCAGTGAGGTTGTCAGCCTTATGCTCCGCAGCCACCCTTTACCCCCAGGAAGATTCCTGGTACTCATTTCTGTTAGAGGCTGAGTCGACCCCAAGGCCATAGTGTGGTTGGAAGGTTGAGGTTAATTGAAAAATCCAATAATGTCGGGAATTGAACCCCTGACCTTCCAACTTGTAGCATAGTGCCTCAACTAACTATGCCACCATGTGCCCTCTGCCCCCTTAGGCTAGGACATTAATTTAATTTCTGAGATCAGGACAGCCATATTGCAGGTTTTATTCCACTTTAATTATCCTCATTTAATTTACAGATGCTGTTCTACAGACAGACCTCTTAATGAAGATTGTTGACAGTCTTAAAATTACAGTTCATAGTTTGGCTATAGACAATAATGAAAGGAACAAATATCAAAACTGTGTACAGTTAGACACCAGGAAAATGAATTTCCTTCATGAATTGTCTATGCAGCGTGGGACATTTTACTTTGTGGAGTTTGAACTTCTGTACCCTTATGACCTGGGAGTGAGGAGAGAGACAAAAGTAGTAAATGAAGGAGATGAAACCAAACATGCAAAGAGTAGTAGGCCGTGGCACAGCAAGGTGAAAAGGTTCTGCTCAAGGAAGAAGATTGGATCAGGTAATTACTTTGGTTTCCAGGAGACAGAATAATTCTTCTATGTATGTGTTAGAGTTCTTGTTGATTTCTTTTATTGCCATCAAAAATTCTTTAGGAAATTAACCCAGTTGCTAATCCATTTTTGATACCTCTGGTTTGTGGGTCCCTGTAGGTTAACCAGAGAATTTTCTGTCTTAATATCCACTGTCAGATAAAGGCAAGCCCCTCCCCCAGATATGCTCCTGCAGCTAATCTAGTGTGCTGGAATAATTATATTTTTTAACACTAATTGTGTTTCATTAATTGACAGAATTGAATATTTTAATAGTTCCTTACTTAATGTATGATGTTTGTCAGAATTTTAGCTAAATTTAGCTGATTTGATCACTCTTAGCGTTGCTGAATTTCAGGCTGTCACAGCAGTGGCTGTGGAGAGTATGTCTTCTGGAATGTAGTGCAGTTCAGTACAGTCAGGATGTACAGTCAGGATGTACAGTGACAGCAGGAACCTAAGTAGCTCTCTGTACCTCCAGTAACCTGTAATGGCTTGCCAAAATTGTTTTGTGGATACACCTGTATATTAAATAACTAAATAATAAAATTCTTGAGAACTCTGGCTCTCCTTGGATTAAGTAATGAGCCTGTGGAATGTTGCATCATACATTTTGAGAAACCATGACTTAATGTATAAATTTTCTTTTGTATCAGTTTTTTTTGTTCTATTTTTTATGCAAGTGGACTGATTTGTTATCTTATTTGTTCTTGCATTTTCAATGTTTGCCTGCTGTATTGTTGTTGGGAGCCACTTTAATAATGGAACTTAATTGAATTTAATTTAGTCACTATTTTAATATTAGTAGCAATACCATTAGTAGTATATATGTAAATTCTTAGCCTACTTTCCTTTTATAAGGTAAGAAAATAGGCTTGTGAGAGCACTGTACTGTCTGTGTAGCCTTCCATTTCATCCCTTGAATCGGGTGACAGTTTTCCTGAAATATGAACATTATGCCATTTGAGGCCACCCAGACCTCATAATTTTTAATTTTGTACAGCTGGTAGTAATGCGATGAATGCACGAATTTGTGATCTCAAAACAGCGCTAGTGCAACATAATGTAGGGTCCTGAAATGGTGTATGCAGACAGATTGTTTAAAAATCAACAACTTTTGATAGGATTCTTTTTTTGCAGAATGTAATGCAAAATGAGAGGTGCATGAAATATATACAGTCAACTCTCGATTATCCGGGCTAATGGTGGGGANCTGTTCGATGGCCATAACCTTTGAAGCATTGGAATCAGACATGTAAACTATGGGATGGAAATAGATCATGAACATATCTAGAAATTCTGTTTGAAATATTGTTTATTAGTTGACAGTTACAAATATGAAGTGATTTCAGATTTTGAGGTTATAGCCAGCAGCTTTAACATACTAAAAATGAAATCTGTAGGCATACTTCAGTATTCCTTGAATGTAAGAACAACTGCAACATCTATAATAATACAAGGTGGTTCAAATATGACTGGGACTGATTTGTGTGGAAACAAGCTGCACTGCGCAGCAACTGTGCGACCTTGAGAGAGTGAAGCTGCAACCTCCACCCTCCCTCCTGTTTGGGTTAGAACCTGTTCAGTCCTGTCTGGGAGTTGCTAGAGTGATGAGCGAACAGAAGGTACCATGGAGTGTGGAACAATGCATTGTGATCAAATTCCTGATTGGAGAAAACGTCATGTCTGCTGAAATTCACCACAGACTCCAACAACAGTATGGGGAAGAGTGTCTCTCACGGACCCATGTGTTTGAGTGGTGTAAGTGCTTCAGAGAGGGCAGAGAGCGCGTAAAGAATGAACCGCATGATCGTCAGCCTCAAACATCCATCACCAAGCCAAACATTGATCGTGCAGACGCACTTATTCATGAGAATAGGCTCATCACTATCAAGGAACTTGGAGCAATGCTGTCCATCAGTGTTGGTAGTGTAGAAGACATCGTGAAATACCACCTGCACTATCACAAGGTGAATGCATGGTGGGTACCATGCACTTTGACAGACGTGAACAAAATGGTGCGCATGCAAGCTGCCAGTCATCTCCTACAGCAGTTTGAAGACGAAGGTGATGCATTTGTGAAGTCTATAGTGACCACCGATGAAATGTGGGTGCACTACTTCATTCCAGAGTCCCAGTAGTAATCACGCAAGTGGCGGCATACCAGTTCTCCCAAACCCAAGAGAGCGTGGAGGAGCCATTCGGCAGGAAAAGTGATGGCAACATTCTTCTGGGACTGGCAGGAGGTTATCCATGTAGACTTTCTGACAGATGCCAGAACAGTCAATGCAGCTAATTACTCAGACCTCCAGGCAACAGACGTGAAGGAAAAGATCCGATCCAGGCGGAAGACAGATGGAAAGTGGGTAGTCTTCCTTCAAGACAATGCACGCCCCCATATGGCTGAAACAATGATGGAAACCCTCCAAAAATTGAAATGGAACCTTCTGACACATCCGTTGTACAGTCCCGATTTGGCCCCAAGTGATTTCTACCTGTTCGGAAGGCTCAAATTAGACTTGCAAAGCATGCGGCTTGTGGGCAACGACACCGTCATCCAGATTGTTCGGGAGTGAATACGCCGCCAACCACAAGCCTGTTTTGAAAAGGACATCAGGATGCTTCCAGAACGTTGGAAAAAATGTGATGACTCCGGAGGGGAGTACGTTGAAGACTGACATGTGCAAGTAAATGTTTGGCAGTTATGGTTTTTAAAAAAAAAACAGTCCCGGTCATATTTGAACCACCTTGTATTTACAATTGCAAACAAAAATTTGACTCTGTTAGTATTGAATCCTATGACTATCTGCATATGAGTCCAACATGCTGGCCCATCATCTTACTGTTGGATTTTGAATTTGCATTATCATCAGATCCCTTGTAAGAAGTTTTCCAAGGGACCAGGAAATATAATGTGAGAAAACATTGTAAAATGGTAGGCTTCAAAATATATACATAATTAATTATATCCCTTGTAGAAAACTAACAATATTATATTTTTATACTGAATAAATGGCTGAAAACACACTAAGTTTGCAGGCTTTCAAATGTACAGAACATGTTTCTATGTCATGGTTATGGTTATAGTCTTTCCGAAATATTATTCTTGCTTGAAGAATGTGTGTTTTTTGTTTTCCTTGTCTTTAAAACAAATTTAAACTAAAATTTTCCAGTTCCCAGAGGTTTCTGATTGACACTGGCACTTCAGGAAGTTTCCTAAACTCTACACTGCACAAGAGAGACTGTCGTCAGTCTCTGCATACTCTGGAAATGGGTATGTCACATTCATCTTCTCGTGAACATCTTCCAGATACACTGACTTAGTTTGTGTCGCCATCATCTTCAGTATGAGGTTCTGACATTTCACACAATTCAGCCTTCTGATAACAGTTTCCAAACTGACAGCATTCCATGATGCTGCAAGTGTTTATATGGCATGAAAGATACTTTGTAGCATTCTTTGCTGAACGTGATTCTCTGCAGAAAGTTGCAATCAAAGCACCTATGATATTTGTGTTTCAAAGATCTGATTATCCCTTGGTCCATTGGCAGTACGACTGACATTGTGTTGGCTTCTTCCTCTTCATTTACACTCTTAGGTTCTCCTCTCATGATTCTGTAGTAAGCCCTGCACTTTTTCTGAATTGATCACTCTAGCCATATGAAGTCACAAATTCAACATTTAGTTTTATGGCCATTTCTTCAACTTTCTGTTACAACACAGGACCTGAATCGGTATATGTAATACCCATTTTTGTCAAAATTACTGTAGGTGCACTGGTTCAGTCTTCTCACCTTTAAAAGTTTTTGTCTTTCTTCTGTCTGGCTGAGTACTTATACATTGCTGAAATATGTTTCTCTTTCAGAGTTTGAGGTTCTCACAGCAGTTCTGTCTTTTGGGATATAATGCCACATGGTCCGTTGAAAGTCGACCAACATTTCAGAATAACATGTTGCCTCTGAAACATCAGTTCACTTTCAATAGACCACACAGCATTATATCTCGTGATAGAACTTTTTATGTTTTTCATGTCTGCTGTAATATTATTTAGTGTTGATATTTGTGTTCCAAGTTATTCTGTGACCTTTGTGTACGTCACACATGGTTGAGCTTCCATGTTCTCAGTGATCTCCATTTTCTCAGAAACTGGTAACTCATTATTTTTTATATTTATTTTTGTTGTCATGCTGACAGCTGTATATAATAAGCAGGTCAGTTTACTTTCATGTATATTCACAAAATGCAAAACATGTTTTCATGATACATAACCTTGTATGGAAAGACCATGCTACCAGTTAGGTGTATGGAGACAGTCAAAAAGCTACATCTAATACCTCCCAGCTTCTACCACTCATAAGCACTATTGAGTGGCGCTAGGCGCTGCAACGTGTTTGATTTATATGATCATCACTTTGTTTCTCACTTATTTCTGTGCCTACATAGTATAATCTGACAGTAACTTATTAAATGGGTAGAGTGTTCAATACATGTCTTTAAAATTGCTCTTCTTATGCAGGAAATATTTTGAATGCGATATAAATGTTATTATGGTATTATATTTTTTTACCAAAGGATTTTAACTTTAGCCAGGAGACCTTTGTAAACAAGATCTTCTTAAGTAGGGTCCACTGTATCCAAAGAAGATATAAATATCATTATATTCATAGGGCTGATAGTCTGCAGTAGGGAAGTGTGCTTTTTTATTTGTACCCAGAATTTGTTAATTGTATGATGATCTGCCTTTAAGAAATTTGTGAAGTTCAACTTGAGTTTCATGTAAAGTAGAAGTTTTGATTTATCAGTATGTAACCAAATTAAATTAATACAATAGTGTATAGTGCAATATCCATTCTTTCAATTTAATTGGAATCGGTCTATTAGCCAGTTTCAAAGATGAAATTGGCAATACCCATGCAGAAACGCATGTACCAGTGGCCACTGCCGAGGTGATTCAACCTTCATCCTATAGATGTAGCAGTCATGAGTTGGGCATCTCTGAACATTCAATGTAATGGGATGTAATTACATCCCAATTTAACCACATAAAGTACAATTAAGATATGTAATGTATGAATGCATTACTCTCAACATCCAAACCAATTAACATTAGCAACGCCTTCTGTTGTTGTGCTGTGTGGTTAGTGCTTGTGTGCAGTACCAGCAGGTGACATGCTCTGCAGCTTTATGGTGAACTCCCAACAAGCAATCACCACATCACCAGTGCACATGAGATCACCTTGCTACTACATTTAAAGTGCATATGTATATGTATATAATGTACATATGTTTGTTTTTTATAGAGACGTACAGATGATGAATGTACATGACCTTTCTATTGTGCATTTATTTTATATGCAGTGTGCAGAGCACTTAAAAGCAGCATATACTAAATAAGCTTTCTGTTTTTCTAGATATTTATTTTGGACAAAGTTCATTGTACATTCTACCAACAAGCAAGACTTCATTTTGCAGACTTCTGAGGGATGGAAACATTACATTTAGGGTTTACTCTCGTCATTTACATCAGAAATTACCTTTACAAATTGGTGAAGCATGCTTAAGAATGACTGACATTTTAAAATCGGAATCCTTTATCTTTCACGATGATATAGAAATTTTATATAGAACTAAAATACCTGAATGTCAAGTGCATATAGGAGTTTTGAAGATCACAGTCCAGTTGGGGTCAGGACAGAGAAACTTTGGTAATAATTTTCTGAACAAGTTAAATAGTGATGGCATGCGTACTGAGGTTGTCAGTGACTGTGAAAATATGAAGCCTGGTGCATCTGAACATAAGCGTGAAGCCAACTTAAAACCTGTGTCAGACACAAGACTTGCACCCAGACATCATGCTTCCAGCATTTCCAGAAGGATTATTAAGAACAATGGGAGCAGTGGCATAAGTTGTGACGTAATTAAGGAAAACCAATTTTGCAAGAACAGTGAACAGGAAATCGGGTTAGATCATAGAGTGGCAGATTCTTCACTATCTGAAACAAGGTTGAATGAGGTAAGGCTTGCATTGTCATGCACATACTCATTATTATGCTTTTTTTTTTTAACCTTAAAGCTTTCAGTGTTACCAGTTATTCAGTTAATGTGTGACTTCGGCTTCCAGAAGCATGTCACATAACATGCTGAAGGTTATCCATCATTTTGGCAAATATTGCTAGTTTCCATCTTCAGCATTAATGACTTGGGAGGTTGTAGTAGTTCCTGTGTAGGTCAGTTGGTGGGTGGTGGGTTAGTTGAAACAGAGCAGCAGGTTGCAGTCAAGTAAGGAACAGCAATGTGGTTAATAAAAAGAGGTGACGAAAAATATTGTGTTGCCCAGGTTGGCTCTGAAAGAGGTGATGGGAAGATAGCACCTAGCTTTCCTGTTTCATACACTCATGGATTCATCTCAGACACTGCCGTACAGAACTTATATATATAACTGCTTTATTAAGACCGTCACAACACAACTATATCAAGGTCATGCCTGGTTTTGGCTCTGCTACATGTTTCAGCTATTATTAGCCATCATCAAGCAAATACATGGCTAACATATAGACACCACTGAACTACAGTATTAATAAAATTGGATACAATAATATTAATTATATTAAAATAATTGACATAAAAATACAATGAATTAGATTATATAAAACAAAAGTTATAGTATAAAACAAGAATAAAATTCTTTGAGTGATGCTTTACATCACTGAGTCAGTCGTTGGTTTTTGTGATTTTGTTTCGTTCCCATGGACAAATTAGAGTATTCTATATTTTGTGTATAAAAACTGTTATTGGAGGCTTGTGATGTAGATGTAGTAATATTAATGTTAATCTGAAAATGACATGAAAGTAATATTATTAAATTTTATAATCAACCATTATTAATTATTAATTCTTAATTTGTTGATTATAACAAAATCTGTACTCTACTGTGGGAATGAGGGTGTGTTAATGATCATTAAGTGGCTGTTACATCATCATTACAAAGTTTCTGATTCTAACATACATTGGTATTCGTACATTAGTGGGAAATTAAAACATAATTACACAGGACTTTTCCTATGTAAGGTTGCCTACACAAGGTATTATGTACACTGGGGTTCATAGAGTAGATTCATGGCATCAGTGTTTACTGTAATAATGATGTTCTTAGCAGAAGGCTTCAGGTATGACCTTATTCATGGCATCTGCATTCTTTTTAATGTGGAATTAACTGTTCAGACACATTATACTATTCCAGATGATAGGATCAAGTCAGAATGATGTCTGAGAGAAGGTATTTTTAAATAGTGGCAAACTGTCTAATCTGGCAAGTAATCTGCTGCCAGACCACTAGAACTAGAGGAATATAAAACAAAACTATTTCCTCAAGAGTACTGTCATGTGGGATGTAGAAGGAAAATTGTGACAGTATGTTCCTCTGAAACATTGGTGGTTGTCTACTAAATACTTGGCCTTACATCTCAGAAGTTGGTAATCTTCATAGTCACTGTTGTGAGAACCACAGATCCGACAAAATGTTTTCGTCATTCCATAAGAATATATATTGTGACATGTTGAACCCTACCTCCCCAGCGGAACGTAGCGGTAAAGTAGCGCTCACGTAATAGGCGAATCATCACCCCGCCACTCTCCCCGCGGTGACGTCACAAGTGGAGCCGAAGTGAGCCAAGCGGAGCCGAAGATAGCCGAGCCCCCGCATCCTGGTAGCTATGCAACGCGCCACGCGCGGTGACGCCACGGTAACGCGGAACCGCTTCCCACTGTGACGTGGCCCGCAACAGGCACCACTGCGGATATATAAGGGAACCGCACAGCAGCTACCAGTCAGTTGGAATGTGGGCAGCCGCCGAGTTATAACGTGGCCATTGCCAAAGATAGTTCCGAGCAAGCCTACGAGAGTGTTTTATCAAGAGTTCTCCAGTCAGCCGACTACTGTTGGAGTATAGCAGCCGCCGCGGATAGAAGATCTGGACATGTGTGTGATTGTGTAATTGGGAGCGTGTGATACAGTGATACCTAGCTCCCCTACTGTAAACGTGTAGACTACTGAACACAGAGTGAACTGATTTGCGCATAGGGTTATAAATCGTGAAACCCCGCAACAGTGTTAACAGATTAATGCGATTAGGGTTATAAAGTGTGAAACCCCGCAACTGT